CTGTTACTACATTGATGTACCAAGGTGCTTTACTGTCACGTGCGTCTCCTCTATCTTTGGGTAGGAGCGATTTAGGTTCATGTAGGTGAAGATCTTCAGTTAATACATTTCATCGTCTTTATTAATTCAAAGAAACTACAGCTGTATTTGGATCAACCTGAAATACAATAAAGTGACATAAACATAAATGGTTAAGTTCCCATGCCTCATTTCTAATTCCTTCACCTATAACCAAACAGCGAGAACTGATAATTATTATAGAATTGTCTACATACGGCTCATTTATAGTGTCACATACTTCAAAACTCTCTGAATGTGATGTATATGTAATAAACTGAGCTGCAAAGAAACGCAAGTTTCAATTTGTTTGAAATGTAAGTGTAACTCACCATTCCATTAAGTAGGAATTGAACTGATGGCGTACAATATGGCGTCACAAAACCATCAACAATGAACCTAAAACATGAATATTGCTCTTAGGCGACATATATTTCAATTCACACACTCACGTCAGTGATTTTATTTTAGGATGATGGTTTGGATGTGGTTGATTGTCTTAGTGGTGGCCACTCGTGGTGGAAATCACCATGAAAAGATACTCGTCACAATGCCTTATTTGTCATAGATCCCTCCCTTTCATCTGGCACTTCCGACACATTTGTCACACAACATCATAATTCAAAGAAAACCATAGAAAAGAACCAGTCAGACTACAAAATTCGTAAACTTTTGGAAGTAGTACACATCAAGAACATAGGATCCGCCCTCAACAGAGATGAAGGATAGTACATTCCCAATGCCTACCATCACTTGATAAAGTAATCAATAATATTTCTTGTGTACATTATCTGTTTCAATTCAACTATGTACATCAACCCCATCCATTGTATATCACCCTTCTGGCTTCCAATCAATTTACCCAATCTCTTCTACAAGCGTTGTACATCAACCTCATATATTGTATAAACAGCTCATTCCCTATCTACTGTAATAACTACTCCTGTATATATTCTCTCAATTTCTTACTCATGTATCACTTGCTTGACAACGACATTAGAATCTATGTCGAAACGTCGCCTCCACAGAATAAAAGAAGTTGTATATCCATAATAATTGTCATTATTCTTCATCAACTCAACTTCTAAAATGCCAATCAAAGAAATAATTCAATTGGTTGGTGTGATTAAGTTGGTTAAGACAAATCGAATCCAGTCATGTCATAAACTATGTAATTCCCTTAGTGACATCACAAAATGAACGTTTCCGTTATTTCACGATATGACTATTGCATACGTGCAAATTGCATGCCAAAGGAAAGTTTACATCTGTATTAGATATTCTCTAAACGTCTAAACATACAACGCCATTCATGGGCAAGAACATTACTGAAAACCATTTCATACTATCCAGAAATTACGAATGGCGACTGACCTCCGGTTTGTAGTCGATGCTGCAGACAGCACTGAATTGTGGGTAATATCGCTTTCTCGCTTTCTCGCTCTATCGCTTTCTCGCGCAATGATATCGCTTTCTCGTCTCCTGCTATCGCTTTCTCGTCTCGCGTTATCGCTTTCTCGCTTTCTCGCCTCCGAATTTTAAGGCGAGAAAGCGATGGCCCTAATTAGCCACCATACTTGACACCAAGATAGCTTTCACTGATATTAACGAGGTTTAGTGTTTCTTTGGTATGTTTGTTTAAGCACTGGTAATTCTGACACTCTCTCAGTTAGTTAGTTTGGTTTAAACATATTTTATTCACAATGTGAAAAGGATCGGGGACAAGTTCTTACAACTTATGAAACCCCTCTCCAAAGATATTTACAATAACTAATTACATCACAAACAATTATTAGAAACAGAGACAGAGAAAGATTACCAGTTCAGGGGAAATGTTATAATACAAAGGGTGTATAGTAATAAGGCTACTGGAACAGTTAGGTCACTGAGTTCACTGATCTGTTCAGCAAGATTTGTATACTTTACTCGACCCCATGATTAGCTGGTCGTTAATCGTTCACATGAAGACGTGCACTGAATATGATGCATTGTCTATCAATACTGTAGCCATTTGATGCTTGGCTCACATACTGGAAATATTCTGAGTCAATTTGCATTACCATGTCAGATTGATAACCTGACATTGCATGACGTGACCCACATACACCTAGTCAACAACTCACTGAACCAACTCACCCACTGATCCAAATCATCCTCTCATCTAGCTCATCCACTGATCCAACTCACCCTCTCATCTACTCATCCAACTCACCCTATCATTGAACTCACCCTCTCATCTAGCTCATCCACTGATCCAACTCACCCTCTCATCTACTCATCCAACTCACCCTATCATTGAACTCACCCTCTCGTCTAGCTCTCATCCCACTGATCCAACTCACCGGGGTCTTCTCGTTTATCCACCACCTATTGTTCTAGGTGGACAAGTCACTGAAGCGGAATAATCCTCAAGACAATAGATGTCCCTGAAATTTTGTTCCCTGTGAAATAAGATCCCCTTGAATGTAGTAGTAAAAAGTAAGTCTTTCTACATTTTTTTTTTTATTTCAACAATACATACAATATCAAAATTAACAATACATTCAATATCTATGACAATCCTCAATAGCCTGTTAAATGGGATACTGCATCCCAATATGCATATACATCCATATGGCCAGCCAAGAATTGCTGTTTGATGTTACATAATCTGTTTGTTAAATTGACATATTTAACTTTCTTGCGAGGAGGTTTGGCACCTCCTCTTAATTACATACATGATGCCTCTACGTAAGATTGTTCTTTTTCAAAATTCAATAATCTTGAAGATATTGGGATGGTTTTCTAAACAGGAAAGCTTCCTGTGCCAGCCCTCAACATGATTAGTAGTGCGGGGGCCTTCGGTGGCGAAGTGGTTCCACATGGTCCTGCCATGGTCACCCTCCACCCAGTACGATGTCATATAGTCTGTAAACTGTTCCACCCCAGGAGGTGCATCTTCCAGGGCCTGCCACCACACATCACTCACACAGTCCACTGGTACCAGGGGCAAAGCAATCGCTCGTCTTACAAGACGACCTATGTCAGGTTGTCCTTATATTCAGTTACCATTCCAAGCTTCTGAACTTTTCTCCAAACACTCTGGCTAAAGTGAAAGTAGCAACCCTTTAATATGGCATTTTGAAAAGTCATCTTGATGGCGTTTTGAGCAACTGACTCAAAATCAGTGAACACACTCACTGGATCAATACAATGTTCTTAGAGGCCGCTACATTCTTCACATTTTCAAAGAAACGTTCATATGTCGACTGCTTTTTATCTGGGAGCAGACCATACACCAAAGGGCACATCTTATTTTGCACAAATGCATGAATGGTGTAAAGCTGGGTGAACACACCAGGGCACTTGTCAAATGTTCCGTCACAGTAGTACACATCTGCTTCGGAGAGAAGTCGCAGGTTCTCGTCAGTCGCGAAGGTCAGGATCTTGTCATGGTCGCCGTGAGAAAACAGCAGGAAGTTGTCATTGGCATGCGTCTTAGTATATGCATCAGGGAAGATCTATTGCTGATCTAGTTGCTGGCAGATGGGGGATGTCTTTGGCTCGGGAGCGGTATAGAGCAGGACGTACACTGTCAAAGATGGGCACTTCTGCAATGATGTCAGGATTCATCACTCTCAGACCTAGAACAGAGAAACACAATGTTAAATTCAAAGAAAACTGTTGTAGTATTTTAGTATTTAATAGTAATTAAAAGTTGCCAAGTATTTATGTTAATATTTACCTGATAACTCCTCCTGATAAAGAGATGGAATTGGTTTGGAATCTTTTCGGACAAGGTCCTTAAGATTGGCCAAGAAAGAATCTACAGCGATTCTATTCTCCACAGATGCATGGTTATGCTGGTCTCTGTAGGACGTGAGAATATTATCTTTGGTGTTAACCGTGGCATGGCAGTTCTTCTGGGCGCAGTTCAATGGACAGATGTTCCTCGTCTTCTTTTAACTACAAACTTGTAATTTTGGAACACTAAGTACTGACCACCTCTACCATTAGGAATAAACTGGACATTAACCTGTTGGTTAGCCATCGTGACTGACCTTAAAGAACCTCATGTACCATTTTATAATCGTGTAATAGTGAAAAGTGTTCACTGAATTAAAAAACACAAATAGCATAATCGACACAATTTAATTAAAGTTCACGAACACTGTTCACTGTAACAGGGCAAATCAGCTAATTAGTGTCACCCACCAGGACCAAATTTCAGAGTGAGCAGTGTAATCACTAACCCGTGTCAACTAATCCCATCTAATCCTTGTCAAAACTAAAGGGTGGTGGATAAGTGAGAATGAACCTGACCATCTTTAAGTGCTTGATTGAGTTTAGTTTTACGCCGCTTTTTGCAATATTCCTGCAATATCACGACTGGGGACACCAGAAATGGGTTTCACACATCACACACACGAAGAGGTCGGAAGCCAAGTGACAAATGAGTTATGAGGCTCTAAGCAACAATACTTTACAGATCCATAGGGAATCTCAGTTAGAAGTAGAGTCGATTGGACGATTCCAGCTATACTGACGCACTAAAGAAAGGACACACTTGCAACATGTACACAGCGTTTGTTACTTGTTTTCACAATCAAAGCACTTTTCAAAATGATTACTATGTTGTTGGGAAAATCATTTCTGTTGTTGGCCAGTTTATGTGATGGGCATGTGTTTAAGTCACTACCAAATAATCATGATACCATGTGTTCCTCAAAAACGTGAGCGTATCCTGATCAACTCAATCCGTCACAAGCACATGTGAATTCTTAAAAGTTCACAATCACATGCAAGCCCTTAATGGATCTTCTTCTAACATAGGGTTGGCATACAATACCCAGAGAATATAATTATCAATCATTATTGTTGATTATCAATCATTAAAATGTCTGCCTATTTCAGTCATGTTGAACTTGCTTCTGTATTGGCATTCCAAGTCAAACCTGTCATGAACTGCCTTTGTAGGCGAACACCCCTCCAATGAGAAACCGGTAGGAGAGTATCCCCACGTGGTGACCCAGTCGGGAGGGGCCAAGGTGCTGGTGGTGCAGGACTACGCCTACGGGAAGTATCTTGGAGATCTACAAGTCACCTTTGACCCGGATGGTGTCATCACGTCATGGGGAGGTAACCCAATCCTACTGGACAACAACACAGCACAAGGTTTGTACATTGTTTCCATACACAGTTAAGCTGTCGTACGCTTAGGTGGTTAACGTATTCTTGTGGCCGTTTTTCAACAAATCATACACGCACTCCACTTTACAACTTTACGTATGTCGGAAGAGACCAACGTATGTTCGTCTTTTAGATGAAGCGACGCTGGAGCTGATGCAGCCATACAAAGATGGCGTGGCCAACGAGTCAGGCACGGTAGTAGCTAGAAGCCAAGTTCTGCTGGAAGGGGATCGGACCTTTTGTCGAGTCGAAGAGTGTAATTTGGGTAAGTTAAAACATATATAGAGAATCTCACCCGAGTGTCTTTTGATAAAAAATATATCTTCACGAGTTGATTATGTTACAAATATCCGAGGCTTGCCGAGGATACTTTTACTTATATCAACGAGTGTTGATATATTTGATTTCAGAAGACACGAGAGTGAGATTCTATTTATCATAAAATATCACTCTTCATTAGTTTTCAGTGATAAATGTACATCACTGAACACGGTACTGCCATTAGACTTGCAGTGCAGCGATGTCATAGCATTGTGACGTCATTATGTTCATGACGTCATAGCATTATCATGGGCATTGTACAAAATCTACTGTCAAAACGATATCCCCTAGGAGATATCGTTTGATCTCACACAAGCAATATCTCCTGTGGAACACAGTTTTGGATGATAAATGAATTCAAGTAATGACTCCCGTTGTAACTGTTTTTCATCAAAGATGTTCAACAGAGGATCAATGAACCAAGACGGTTGAGGTACATGTATCAGTCTAGGAAACAATTCCATCTGCAAACTTCCTCTCTCCTCATCCACACCAATGTTCCCAAACCAGCCCTTGATTCCTGTCCTTTGATGTAGTGATGGATCGACTTCTCTTAACTGGTATGTTTCTGTATCTCTCCTTGTTTCCTAGGTAACCTGATAGCTGATGGCATGGTGCACCAGAACCTGAAGCACAGCGACTCCATGGAATGGAACCACGTGGCCATCGCCTTCATGAACGGGGGCGGCATCCGGGCGTCGATACAGAGAGGTAACTCGGACTAACACAGTTCTTCTATAACGAGATAACGACACGGATAGGTAATGTCACAGCTACATAATATTTTATAATAATTTCGTGCTTTCAAGTTTACACAGATTCCCGAACGTTGGTTGGTTGAGAGAGCGGTCATGTGATCTAAATTTCAAGGTTCATTACTCTTGAACCCCTCTAATCGTTCATACTTGTGTAAACACCGTTCATACATGTGTGTGATTGTTTTTCGCTTCGGTTTCTGCCCCAAGGACCCCAATAAATTTCACAATAATTGGTGATACCAAGATTTTCGCGAACGAACCTGTTTCATTAGTCACCCCCAAGTTTGGCAATTTGTTTCATACTACCAAATGGATTGCCGAACATTGTTCCTTTCACTTCAGGAGTTTAATGTCTCGCAGTTAAACATTTTGCGGGTTCATCCGGCGGTTTTCTGCCCCTGAGGTTTGTGTGTTTGCACTGAAAAATGAAGGTCGAGGTCGTAAACTCGCTCGTTCGCTCGTTCACACGAGTTTGAACACCGCTTTGACATCGTTCATTTTCAGTGCAAACAATTTCACCCACGAGGGCGAACATATCGGGGTTCATATTTTTCATACAATGCCCTAGGGCAAAATATCACTTTGTCATGGTGACGTGACGTCATGAACAATGCTATGACGTCACATTTCTTCTATGACGTTGCATTCTACATGCGGCGACGGCGGGTAGCCAGCCAATGTTTAAAAGTAGATTTGGGTTTATTTATTATTTTCCTCAATTTGACGACTTCGGTAATAAACATAATATTATATTCGTGCCCATATCATACTATGTTTACGACACGAGTGCCTAAATGTTGGTATTTCCCAAGCGAGAGCGAGGGATATACCGATATTTAGGCACGAGTAATCATTTCCTACAATGGCTTGTTCCTTGCCATTCAGCTTCACAGAGTACCCTGAATACAAAGGACCCTGTATTCCGTCCTCGAAGTGTATTGTTTTCGTCTCTCCTCTCTTTGGCCAATTGAAACCAGAATTTCTAAGGTTTCCTTTGGCAAGGACAGAGTTGGAAAAATAAAGGTATCGTTCTGTTGATGGTATTTCAAGGTGACGTCACCATCGGCGACATCCTGACCGTCCTGCCGTTCCGGAACACCGTGGACATCGTGGAGCTACTCGGGAGACATGTCCGGGAGACGCTGGAGTTCGCGGCGTCCAAGTGGACGGAGACAGGCAACCTATTCGGGGGGTTCATCCAGGTGTCAGGCACGTGTTTCCTCATGAAGACCATGTTATTGGCTGCTGCCTGATATTTCTTTTGTATGTGTGTTAGACACTATCTAGGTATTCGTCCTGAAGGATTATATGGCCAAGGCAGTAGAGACGTGTTTAGGCATCGAAACAAATAGTCATGAAGCTGCCATTCAACTGTTTTAGATATTACCAAGCTGCCAAGAAACATACTTTTTAACGCTACAAAACTGTATGTTCTGTTATCTTTCATATAATAAAAGGGCGGTGAGGTAGCCAGCTACATAGTGATTAAAGCGTTCGCTTGTCACGCCGACGATTTCTGGCGTAAAACTAAACTCACTCACTCATACAAGAAAAGCCAAATCGTGACAGTCATTGTTCTCCCAATTTGGACACTCAAATCAACACATTGTTGGCACAGAATAAAAAAAACTGTCCTTATAGGTTAAGACGACCCCTGAAGGCAACCGATAATCTCTCCTTAGAGACCATAATAGGACACTATAAGCTATAGGTCTCTGTAAACAATGGATACGTCATGCGTTTTTCTCTGCTCTGCGTCTTACCAGGTATGACAATCGTGTACGACATGGCGATGCCTGTGGGTCAAAGGGTAATAGAGGTCAAGGTCAGATGCACTAACTGTTCCGTGCCCCAATACGTGGATCTGAATGACTCCGAGATATACAAGATCATCATGCCATCTTTCATTGCTAATGGTGGGGACGGATATGACGTCATCAACAAAAACAAGATCAAACATCATCTGCTTGGTGAGTGTGTCAGGGGGCACAGGGTCATGTGTCAACTTAGTACGCGTAGGAACTTGTTATCGTTGTAGCTTGCAAAAGGACAGGCAGACTTGACACAAAACGTCAAGGAAACAGTGGCGCTTCGATGGCTTTATACAATGCAGAAGATCATCCATAGATAATGATCCTCCTTCCTTTCCAATCGCCGTTCCGTCAGTGCTTCATGTCATTATTTCTTGATAGAAGAGCCGGTGGGGTAACCTAGAGGTGGAAGCGTCCGCTCACCACGCCGAAAACCCGGGTTCGATTCCCCACATGGGTACAATGTGTGAAGCCCATTTCTTGTGTCGTGATATTGCTGGAATATTGCCAAAAGCGGCGTAAAACTAACCTTACTCACGCACTCTTGTCAGAGGGAGTATAACCAACCAACAGAAGTTGGTGATTTTATGAGCGCATTTGATAACTATCTGCTGATTGCATGATTAAAGAGCTTTAAATAAAATATGTGTGAAAACTCTTACAGGGGATGTCGACGGCGATGTATTTATCGAGTACGCCAAGAGCTTCTCACCACTCACCGCAGGCCTGGATGGCCGCATAACACTGAGGAAGGAGCCCACGTGTCCTTGTAGCGAGATCAATGACGTCACCCGTCCATCACCACAGCTCCTTACATCGACAGTTGCAGTCATGATGATTGCCCTGCTTATATAAACGACATTCATGGTAGTGGAAGTTATATTGATATTACAGGCACGACTGGGCTGATCTGTCGTTCGTATGTCATATAATTTCTGTTCCTCATGAGTGTGTTGTGACTAGGTGTGACGATCTCAGGATTTGACTTTACAGTGTGCTGAGACAAGCTGTGACAATCTTGAGGTTTGACATGATAGTGTGCGTGTATGTGCGTGTCAGTCTGTCTTTCTGTGTGTGTGTGTGTGTGTGTGTGTACGTGCGTGTGGTGACTCGGCGAGACTACATTGAGATGTCACGTGGCAGGGTGGGACAGGCTTGCCCTTTCCCTAAGAGGTATCAGCGATCCATGCATTATATATTTCACCAGTGAATATTTTTCAGTGAATAATCAAAATAATTTTTTGTCGTTGATGATATGTCGATATTGTGTCGAGAGTGTGACCTCGTGATTTGACTTTGTGTTTTGAAATGGATGTGGATATTGTAGTGTTAGAATAGCTACAACGTCGACTGTATAGAGGGGACTGAATGTGTGATCACCAGACTTTACTGCTTGTAACAATCTTGGAATGTGACCAGACAGAGTGGTCGGAAATTTTGATCATCTCTAGATTTAATTGGATAGGGAAATGTAAATGTCCGGACTGTTTCGAGTGGAGCGCGGTGGGGGGCGGGGCGGGGCGGGCTGGGCAGGGTGGGTTGCATTGCATTGCGTTGCATTGCATTGCATTGCATTGCATTGCATTGCGTTGCATTGCATTGCATTGCATTGCAGTGCAGTGCAGTGCAGTGCAGTGCAGTGCAGTGCAGTGCAGTATGTATGTCTCGTGATGTAACTGGACAATGTGATGTGAACGAGCGTCTATCAAAGAGACTTTGCCATAATCTGAACAAAATATGGGTGTTATACTCAGCTTCGTTAGTAACGGATCACCTAGGCCTCAGTCATGAAAATGTCACCAAGCATCAATATGTATGTTGACGTTGTGATTAACAGTTTAAAAATATGTTGTCATACCGATGTTACACTGGTTGGATGAATTAACGAAACTTGGAAAGTGGATAACGAATTATAAAATTAATGAAAAGTGCAAGACTGAAAGTGATACAAAACGGTTTCCAAATCACAGACCCGACAGCTTTCGTCCATGCAATAATGACAATCAAGTGTCAATGTGGGTATTAAATCGTTCATTCTGCACTATACGGAGATATACATGACACCTGTTTGAATACTCGCCTATCTTATTATCTGCTTGACCCACCAATAACACTTAACGGATATTACGATTACAAAACAAGCGTCTGTTAGACATTATTTTTTACACGAGTTTAATTCAAATCATACATGGTTTTCAGCTGTTTGAATTGTCAAGTGTCAGACACTGAATGTAATAGTGTTCATTGTCAGCTAGTGTGTAGTCTTGTTATGTTATTGATCATTCCTGTAACGTGTTCTATCCATGCTCTGGTTGGTGCACTCAGGGGGAGATATCAGAGTTAGGTTACCCCTGGCTATCAATACATGTGATACAAACTGAGGTGCAGAGTAACAGTTGCCTTCATTTTTTGTCAAGATCGTTGCATAGACTGCGTTTAGTGTCTGCTGCAATGTGTTTAACTGCAATACTATCTCTGTATACTCTCTTGAGGAAATAAACACTACCATGTTATCTCTTGGTTATATGTGTCTATACATCACATCAGACGTCTTCGTCACTGTCCAAATGTATACTGACGCTAAACGTCTTTCTCACAATCAAGATAGATGTTGATAACAACTACCTTGGCCACTATCCACATATATAATGAGGCTAAATGCCTTTCTCACAATCAAGATAGATGTTGACGGTAACAACTACCTTGGTCACTATCCAAATATATAATGAGGCTAAATGCCTTTGTCACAATCAAGATAGATGTTAACGGTAACAACTACCGTGGTCACTATCCAAATATATACCGTCGGTAACACGTGCTTAGATCACAATCCAGATAGATTCTGATAGTAACTGGTCACCCATTAATGACTTTCTTTGCATCAGGTAGAGTGGGGAATGTGTGACATGCCTCTTTAAGCAGCTTTATCTGAAACTTTAGAATATAACAAAAATATAATTATGGGGAATAGGAGTTACATAAATCGTTGTTAACATTAATTACAAAGGCTAAGAAAACGACTTTCCTATTGCGTCCTAACCTCACCTCAAATCGACTAATTGCATGGTGCTTGTGCCACCCGTTGAGCACACGTGTTCAATCTGGTGAGCATGAGTGTGCATGCCGTTGCGCATGAGCGTGCACCCGTTGAGCACGTGTGTTCAATCCGTTGCGCATGAGTGTGCATGCCGTTGAGCACACATTCCACATTCAACCAGAGACAGTGCAACATGAGTGACGGGTCACGGTTCACACTGGCAGGGTACGGGTGTAGCGCTGGCGAGGCAACGTCACGCACAACTGGTGTTGTGTTCATGAGATTAAACGATTTAGAGGGGACAGCTTAATGGAGTAGGAACATTGTGTGTCAACTATCGATCTCAAACGTTTGTCGTGCAAAGGAATCCTATTACCATGCAATATCGGCAGACATTCTTGCATAATAAATTTTATTTAAGGTTTATGTTTTATTGTGAGTGCGGTAATTACATATAATAAAGAAAACTGTAGAAAACAAAGGTTATGTGGAGTAAGGATGCCAATATATAGCATTATTATCTTAACTTTTTATATATTATTTGGGAGGCTTTTTCACAATTCTTAAGTGACGCATTCTGTTCGTTCTATTAACAATTACATTCTTTTGGGAGGAATTGATAACAACTTTCTGAATTATATTGTAATATATGCAAAATACACATTTAAGTTTTGATATGAAAAGATTAAAACTTTGCTTCTCCAAATGTAAAAACGTCATTGAAATGTGTGGAAGAATGTATTGAAGAAGAAACAACAGAAATGGGCAACTTTAACTGATGTAGCAGAACCGTCCATAACCCCACGTACTGGAATCTACATATTTATGAAATCTTTTGTATCATAATGGATTCCTAAGGATATTACGTCATTGGTATTACATTCGACTTAAGCTGAAATTTGGAGGTATACATACATGATATGAACATACTGCATGACTCCCCAGCATAGGGGCATCATTTGTTTGTGTTTCACGTAGCCACCAAATTCTGAACATGGGTCGGTCGGTCGGGGAAAAAAATATTAAAAAATTAACAAAGACAAAATTATCTGAATAATGTTCTTGATTCTCATTTACTGTAATTCTTATTACAATTTCTCGCGTTCTTTGGTTCTCTCTCACACACAAACACACGCGCGCGCGCACACACACGCACACTCACTATTTCTCAACGCGTAACCTTCTCCGCACAAACACTCTACGCGCGCGCATACACACAGACACACACACACAGAGACATGCACACACACACACACACACACACACACACACACTACGCACACACACACACTACGCACACCCCAAAATACATCTAAAGTGGAGCAAGTACATTTCATAAAATGTGTTTAACGTCTTTGAGAGGAAGAAAATAACGCAACAACCCTAAATATCTGTTTTCACGATAGGGCTCTAGTTACATCATATGTTGCCCATACGTGTATGGGGAGTGAACCTCCAGACAGTAGAGCAAACCGAAACATGAGTCTCCTTAACCTATTCAGACAATGACCTACCTTTCAGCCGATCCTAATTTTCTCGTGTGAAAGTGAAAACAGACATCACAAACAACTATGGTTACACTGAATTCCAATTCTTTGTTTCATAAGAAAATGGTATTTACAAATGAATTTGAAACTTTAATAACATCGTATTTCTATATTTTATGGCGAGGTGTAGGCAGAATGACCTTAAATGAGACGTCACAGACTGCACCTGTTTGATGAAGTCGTAAAATGATTCACAATGCATCAGGCCCACTGGTTACACCTGTTTTGTGTTTTTTTGCGCTTATTCAGAGTTGTTTTGTAACGCACAATGTCATTGATATAATATCAACTCCGTACCAGACTCCCAAACCTTTCTAGCGGGAGAGCCTCGTTTTGAGATTTCAACGATTTCCAGGTTTCCGTTTGTCAGAGCTCGCTGTACGACGGAGCACGCTGCACGACGTGTTTGCAAGGATTAGAAGGAGCGTAGTGGTGCAATATACAAATGCTTAGATGTATCAAATAATACTGAATAATAATTATGTATCCACTTACATGAATTGGTCTCAAAATTCTGGACTGGTTATTGTACTAAGTTGCGCAACAGGACGGGACCCAGTAAACATGAAACGAGACTGTTGTGTAATCAATGTCTTGACTTGTAATGTCATGCTGCTCCTAACAGCGTGCAGTTTGTTTCTATACACATTCGTGTACGACCCTCTCTCATACAAGTTACCATTGAAATGAACAGAATTGGAGTAATATATTCAAACACTCTCGCACACCATTACAAAACCGCCACCACAAAGAAAGTAAAACACTTAGAAAAATCACCGACCGTATCCAATGATTCAATGGAGAGGCCACCGGTTGGCCTGTGAGAGTTGTTATACGACTGTGTATCACAGCAGTCAGCTACCAAGATGGAATAACCCAGTCCAGGAGAGTTGTGTTTGACGTGTTCATTCTCTCAACATCTGTACTGTTGAATTATTGAAGAAAACTATTGAGTACAAGCAAAACAGCTTCACATTACTGCTTCAACTACAGCAACTCCCTACAGCTTCACCTACAGCAACGCCCAACAGCTTCACCAAGAGCAACTCCCAAAGGCCACGGACTTACGTAATACATACGAGATGCTCCTTGTGCCTCTGCTGATGATCTCTCTGCCTGCTGCTGTTGTCGGCTTCAACCTCACCATCCTCCACACCAACGACATCCACGCAAGATTCGAGCAGACCAACAAGTACAGTGGTCAGTGTGGGGTGGACGATGTGGCAGAAGGGAAATGTTTCGGTGGGACAGCGCGACTGTTGACCAAAGTCCGAGAACAGCGTTCCCTTCATCCCAACACCATCCTCCTGTCGGCAGGGGACGAGTTCTTGGGGACGTTGTGGTTCTACAAGTACCGCGGTGCTGTTGTGGCCAGATTCATGAACCACTTGCGGTATGACGTCATGGTGAGTGTACGAGCCTGTTATATTGTGACGCCATGGTGAGTGCATGAACATGTTGCAGTATGACGGCATGGTGAGTAAATGACCCTGTTGCATTATGACGTCATGTTTCGTATATTGACATGTTGCAGTATGACGTCATGTAGCGTATATGGACATGTTTCAGGATGACGTTATGGTGAGTAAATGAACCTTGTTGCATTGTGACGTCATATAACGTATATGGACATGTTGCAGGACGACGTTATGGTGGCTAAATAAACATGTTGCATTGTGACGTCATATAGCGTATATGGACATGTTGCAGGATGACGTTATGGTGAGTAAATTAACCTGTTGCATTGTGACGTCATGTTTCGTATATGAACATGTTGCAGTACGACGTTATGGTGAGTAAATGATCCGGTTGCATTGTAACGTCATGTTGTGGATATAAACCTGTTGCAGTATGACATTATGGTGAGTACATCTCAATCTATTCGTCTTATTCAGATTACAGGTAAGCCCATAGTTGCAGTATGACGTCATGTAGCGTATATGGACATGTTTCAGGATGAAGTTATGGTAAGTAAATGAACCTGTTGCATTGTGACGTCATATAACGTATATGGACATGTTGCAGGACGACGTTATGGTAGCTAAATAAACATGTTGCATTGTGACGTCATATAGCGTATATGGACATGTTGCAGGATGACGTTATGGTGAGTAAATTAACCTGTTGCATTGTGACGTCATGTTTCGTATATGAACATGTTGCAGTACGACGTTATGGTGAGTAAATGATCCGGTTGCATTGTGACGTCATGTTGTGGATATAAAACTGTTGCAGTATGACATTATGGTGAGTACATCTCAATCTATTCGTCTTATTCAGATTACAGGTAAGCCCATAGGATAAATTCGTTATTGAATATGAGCACATATGTATTCAAGAGGTAGTAAGGATTAACTGTCACCACATTCCAACGACGAAGCATGCCGTCACTACACACAGCTGTGTCTCTGAAGAGTGATTTAACTATGCACCAGTAAAAAAGCCTTCATTCTTCAATGTCTCACAACACTGTGCGTGGAGTTAACTTAATACTAAAAGGCAGTCACGCGTTGCCGACCTGAAGGTCGATGCACCCTTTTACTTGGTTTTGTTAAAGGAAACACACGTCACACCGTTGTGGCAGTGTAACAAAACTACATGTATCTAAACGTTATATACTGAGACCGCAACACAACGCGTGTCGTCTATCTTGTGTGAAATAATGTAGACGTTACAGTCAATAGTGTGTATTGCAATCGGATGTTTTCTCTGTGTGTGATACTGTTTGTTTATAGATAGATCTATACATGAAACAGTTGAGGAACTCTGACTTAAGCTTCAGGTATATCGATGATCAATATATTCAGATGGAGAAAAAGTATCGCAACACCTCAGTAATAGCTTATTGTTTTCATTTACTTTCAAAATGTTGTTCTGTGGCATTTTTAAGATATTGAGAGAAAAAAGTATTATTTGTTGCGATACTTTTGCCCACATGAATATATTGATTATCGATAGTTCAATAACCATGTAATAGGTGATTCCCTTATACTGATTCACCCACCAAAACTTGAAATACAAAACAGTGAGACCGACTTGCCTGCATCATGTTTCGATCTATGCACAAAAATTCGAACTGAGAAGAAACTCCTCAAGGCTCAAGTCTATGTCACGCGTCATACCAAAAGACGTTAAAATATGGTACTTGTTGGTCCCTGCCTGGCGCCCGGCATTAATGGGTACAACAAGGACTGGTCGGCTCGGAGTCAGTATATTATGTCCGAGTGGGGCATTCATGCTTAACTGCGGCGTGGTATCTCAGTGAGCTAGCACTATAAAACCAGATGCAGTCTGGGCTAGTACAAGCAGCCACACATACACACGCATGCACGTCGCCATATGAGCGAAATATTGTTGAGTACGACGTTAAACCCTGCCACCACCTCACCTCACCTCACCTCATTTCACCTCACCTGTATGACACGAGGGTTGGCTTCAACCTTCCTTGTATATTGAGCATTATTCCATCAGCTTCAGCCTTTTCTTCTTTACATTTCACAACTTTATAGTAATATCAGTCATGGTGTTTTTCACCAAGATTTCAAAGAGCGTCTCAAGAGTGTCAAAGAGTGACAAAAATGATGTCTGATGCAATTCCAAATTTTGATTTTACCATATGTTAGTGTGTTTTTAGGTGAACAGTTGACTAGCCTGTGCGTGTGTTTCCGACTGGTGTCACAAGTGGGGCAGAATAGAACACCTGCTACAATCAATATTTAACGATGATTCATAAACACAAAGTCATGATACAGTGGAAGCGTTAAATCGACTCAGCTATTGGCAGAGGTTTCATATGGAGGTGGAAGGGGTTTTGACGCTTTAATTTTGTTTGTGAAATGTTTAAAAAATAATGATACTGAAAGAAATTATACAAACGTAAAGAAACGCATGTTAGAAACACTTGTACATCATTCATTTGAGGACATCGCAGGAACACAATCGTTTCAACTCGTTTGGCGTTTTTAAGTGTGTGGTTTTTTGGTGTTTATATTTGCACGTGCACCGAAGAAAGACATGCACAATTACGTGTATTTCCTTCATAAGCTGCCATGTAAGAAACACCGACATTTCACACTCAACTTTGAAAAAGGACAGGAAACAGGGTTCTGGATCAACGTCCACTACAGTAACGTGGCTCTTTGGATGTCAACCATTACCGGAATGATCGAAAGGCATCAGTAGACAGGCAGTTTTGCAAGATCGGCCTCGATCTGGGCGGCCGGAGTCACTCGTCAAGCGTTATATCCGGTGACACATCCGGGTGACCGAAAACGACGAGAAACACAGACAACTGCAACCATGCAAAGTCAGCCGACACTGTCGTCGGGAAGACCGGCGGGATTCAGAGGTCATCGTCTTACTTAGGGGCCATACTGACTCAACGTATCTACCAACAGTGACCCCAACAGCATGTCTGTGGGGACGTCAACAGTGGCCGCAGGTTGTCTACTCAGGCGAATGTTCAACGTTTGTCACATCGATGGGGAGATTGTCATCGAGACGGGAGATAACGTAGTGCGCCTCGTGCTGACTCCCTTGTTATTCAGGCCAACTAGTGAGGAAGGGGAGAATTCATGGCTTCTGTTATCATCACAGGTCCTCCCTGGACTGCAGTCGTGTACAGGGATGATGATCTACAAAGTCAGATCTTACTTCCTTGGTCAGCCTTTGAATCCAGGTCTCTCAGATCAACAGGACAACGCTCGTTCCCATACTACACGAGTATGGACTACGATTGACTACCATATCGTTCCGTCTGTGTCAGTGGACATCGGGACAATTGAGCACGTCTGGGACAAGACACGTTAGGATATTTTTCAGAATGCATGGCAGCCACTTCAGAACCTGGAAGCCTGCTGGATGCGGGAATGCAACGCAATTCCCTGAGCCTCTTCCGAAAACGTTTTGACTCAATGAAACGACGATCTGCAGCTAACGGAGGCCCAGGGCACACGGTCGTACGACTGACTTTTGTCCTTCTTTCTATTTCGTGAGGACTTTTCCATAAACACGGCTAGTTTTCATGAAAGAATTAAGGCACATTCTTATATGAACCGTTTTCTGTGTTATCATTTCCTGGCATGATAAACATATCATTTATGGTCTTAATGTTGTCTGCATTTTATGTGAGACCTGATTTGATTTGCGTTTAATTAGATGGTTGTATTCATTGTTTTTTTCTTAGACTCTGGGGAATCACGAGTTTGACCTGGGCATCGAGGGACTGATACCCTTCCTCAACGACGTCAACTTCACCGTAGTAAGCGCCAACATTAACGCTACACGAGAGCCGTTTGTGAATAACAAGCTGGTGAAACACACGGTGTTGATGATCGGGGGAGAACGTATTGGGGTCATCGGGTACACTACAAGAGAGACACCATCAATCTCGTCACCAGGTAAACCAAGGCCCCGAAATATGGAGACACAGTTGGTCATCATATTCAGTATTAAATTTAGAGTTATAACTGGGAATGTACTCTTTGGCTTAAGGAAAGATATAATTTGATCATAGATTTTAGGTCTTTGAATCGTCCAATAACTGAAGAACATGTGTATTATTCAGGGCCCAAATTGACATTTGAAGATGAGATTGCAGCAGTCCAGAGAGAGGCTGACATCCTGACGTCACAGGGCATCGACAAGATCATTGCTGTTGGTCACTCGGGATTTGGTGTTGACAAGAAAATTGCAGAAGGAGTCAACAACCTGGATGTAGTGGTTGGGGGCCACACCAATACATTCCTTTACACAGGTGAGACAAGCACACGCATTCTGATTGCAAACTCACCTATGCAGTTGAGTATGCAATTTAATGTATTGATCGGAAGGATCAAACTGCTCACTGTCAGTCCTCCAATGAATTTGACAAAACAGTTATGGATTGTCCTTTTTGCAGGCGACTACCCGTCCAATGAGAAACCGGTAGGAGATTATCCCCACGTGGTCACTCAGTCAGGGGGTGCGAAGGTGCTCGTGGTGCAGGACTACGCCTACGGGAAGTATCTTGGAGCTCTGCAAGTCACCTTTGACCCGGATGGTGTCATCACATCGTGGGGAGGTAACCCAATCCTACTAGACAACAACACAGCACAAGGTGGGTTTATCGTACTGTGTCAAGGGTCAACGTTTATGCTTGTATTATTTGCAAGAACTGTACAGGAGACTGTGACAAATTATGTTCGCCAGCATTCGATGCCTGGCTACACCCTACTTGGCTACATCAACGAAATGATATTGTGTGAAAAAGAACACTATATTTTCATAGAAACAGGAACACTTCGTTCACAGTATGGAGTTTCTTTGGAAAGACATTTAAACTAGATAAACACCAAGAGGTTAATTTGTCACGTCTAACAATGTATGCCTTTAAAAATAGCCTCTGAAATCTATCTTGTATCTACAGTCTTAAGAAACACATCTGCCGATTATCCAATGGCAGTGGTTTTCATACTACCCTATTAATTGCTCTTTCATCTTCTATGCTAATGAGATATCTTTGGTGTCCTCGACATTCTTCAAAGTGAACTTCATGCATATATATCCCAAAGAAACATGGGCGTTCAGATTGTATATCAAAAAGCAGAAGAATGGTTGCTTCATTGTTTTCAGGACTACGTGGTGATAACATTCGTGTTGCTGTGCCCTAAATTTGCTTTCATACTGTATTCTGTTTCACACGAAAGGATAATGCTATTAGCTTCCGAGGAATCAAAATTCTTTCGGATGTTAAACAACAAATCATTCACACTCTCCACTCACACGTTTACGTCTGTCAGAAGAGACCAACAAATGCGACCAATGTCCATCTGTCTTCTAGATCAGACGACTCTACAGCTGATGCAGCCCTACAAAGAGGGCGTGGCCAACGAGTCAGGCACGGTAGTGGGTAGAAGCCAAGTTCTGCTGGAAGGAGATCGGACATTTTGTAGAGTCAAAGAGTGTAATTTGGGTAAATAAAAAGCTAAGATGAATAAGTAACGACCCCTGCTGAACTGTTTTCTGTTTAAATGCCTTTTATTTACTGCATACGTGCCATTAAAGGTGTCCAATGATGATGATGATCCAGGGTCGTAGTGGTACTTGTGTCCGCTTAGAAAAAATTCCATCTGCATCCTGCCGAGGATTGTATTACCTGTTCTTTCATTCCCCGCCTCAATGTCAACCCTTTTAAACTAATATACATGTATGTCTACCCTGGTTTCGTAGGTAACCTGATTGCCGATGCAATGGTGCACCAGAATCTGAAGCACAGCGACTCACTGTATTGGAACCACGTGGCCATCGCCTTCATGAACGGGGGTGGAATCCGGGCGTCCATACGGAAAGGTAATTCGGGCTAAAACACGTGTTATATACAGAAGGAAAGTACTTCTCATCTAAATACTTCAGATCCAATACTGATAGGTAACTTGACAAACGTTTTTCCAAAGGTTCTGACAAAGGTCCGGATATCTGCCAACAGATGTTTAATACCTTCACTGGTTGCCGGTGTGTTTCAGAGTTCAGTTCAAGATTCTGACTTTGGTCTTCAATGCAAAACATAGCCTAGCACCACCATACATCTGCGATGTTGTTAAAGATCATATTCCATCTCGATCTTTACATTCAGGTTCTCAGAATCTCCTGTGTGTTCTTAAAACACGCTCCAGTTCTTATGGTGACAGAAGCTTTTCCAAGCGCCTTTGAATAGACTTTCATGTACTGAGAACAGGCGCTATCTATATGACTAGTTTGATTATTTCCTTGTTCCTTACTATCCTTCTTTACACAGTCCGTGTGTTCTGATGTTGTTTTAATCTCTTCCCTCTTTGACCTATCCAAACCTTTCTCAGGAGTCTTTGTTCACATCCTTCTGATGGTATTTCCAGGTGACGTCACCATCGGCGACATCCTGACCGTCCTACCGTTCCGGAACACCGTGGACATCGTGGAGCTGCTCGGGAGACATGTCCGGGAGACGCTGGAGTTCGCGGCGTCCAAGTGGGCGGAGACTGGCAACCTATTCGGGGGGTTCTTCCAGGTGTCAGGCGAGTGTTTTCACATCCAGGTGGCGAAGACCATATTAGTTTCATCCACATGAGCAGCCGTACCCAGGTTCAACACAAGCTTGGCGTTTTTGTTGTTTTGTTTTTATTGAATCTTGTTTTTATACAAACGTGTCTGGGCATATCACCTGTTGTTCAATGTTAGCAAGTCGCTAAAAACAAGCTGGGATAACATTAGATGCTTTTTCGAGGTGCAATTCTTGAGAGGAATATAGAAGTTATTATTTATGACAAAATAGTATGGATGTCAACTTCTACGTCTTTATTGTATACACAACATATCTACAATAACGAAAAAGTTGACATCCATGTACAGGTGTTTAAAAGATAAAAAGGTGTTAACCAAACCTAATAAACTGCTATGACGCATCCTCCTAAACATAAAAAACAGCATTGTCTTGTAATCGGCTACCAAGCGGCTTACATAAGGTATTAGACGCAGCAGGTGTCTATGAGTGTGACTAATCATGGCTTCAGGTGACATTAGCCAGGATTCAGGAGGATGGTTATACGTGGCTTTAGACAACAGTAGGAAATATTCAGGAGGATGGTTATACGTGGCTTTAAAAACAGTAGCAAACATTCAGGAGGATGGTTATACGTGGCTTTAGACAACAGTAGCAAGCATTCAGGAGGATGGTTATACGTGGCTTTAGACAACAGTAGCAAACATTCAGGAGGATGGTTATACGTGGCTTTAGACAACAGTAGCAAACATTCAGGAGGATGGTTATACGTGGCTTTAGACAACAGTTATACGTGGCAAAACATTTCAGGAGGATGGTTATACGTGGCTTTAGACAACAGTAGCAAACATTCAGGAGGATGGTTATACGTGGCTTTAGGCAGCAGTAGCAAACATTCAGGAGGATGGTTATACGTGGCTTTAGACAACAGTAGCAAACATTCAGGAGGATGGTTATACGTGGCTTTAGACAACAGTAGCAAACATTCAGGAGGATGGTTATACGTGGCTTCAGGTAACAGTAGCAAACATTCAGGAGGATGGTTATACGTGGCTTTAGACAACAGTAGCAAACATTCAGGAGCATGGTTATGCGTGGCTTTAGACAACAGTAGCAAACATTCAGGAGGATGGTTATACGTGGCTTTAGACAACAGTAGCAAACATTCAGGAGGATGGTTATACGTGGCTTTAGACAACAGTAGCAATCATTCAGGAGGATGGTTATACGTGGCTTTAGACAACAGTAGCAAACATTCAGGAGGATGGTTATGCGTGGCTTTAGACAACAGTTGCAAACATTCAGGAGGATGGTTATACGTGGCTTTAGACAGCAGTAGTAAGCATTCAGGAATGTTCCTTGATATGGTTTTAGGCAGTGGCTTTAGGCCGCATTAGCAAGCATTCAGGAGGACGGTTATACGTGGCTTTAGACAGCAGTAGTAAGCATTCAGGAATGTTGCTTGATATGGCTTTAGGCAGCAGTAGCAAACATTCAGGAGGATGGTTATGCGTGGCTTTAGGCAGCAGTAGTAAGCATTCAGGAATGTTGCTTTATATTGCTTTCAGTAGCAGTACAAGCATTCAGGAATGTTGCTTTATATGGCTTTAGGCAACAGTAGCACGCAGGTATGATGGAAACCTCTGACCATACAAAGGCACTCATCATTTTCCCATTCTCATCCCCAGGTATGAAAATTGTATACGACATGGCGATGCCTGTGGGTAAGAGGGTAATAGAGGTCAAGGTCAGATGTGCTAACTGTTCCGTGCCCCAGTATGGGGATCTAAATGATGCCGAGATATACAAGATCATCATGCCATCTTTCATTGCTAATGGAGGGGACGGATATGACGTCATCAACAACAACAAGATCAAACATCATCTGCTTGGTAAGTGTGTCAGGGGCCACAGGGTCATGTGTCAACTTAGTACGAGTAGGAATAAGTAATCTTTGTGGCTTGCGAAAAAAAGTACAGGTAGACTTGACCTAAAAGGTTAAGGATACAGTTTTGCTAAGATTAATTACTGCAATATCAAGCATCGCAGCGACTTTCTACAGTGCTTCCTGTCACCATTTCTTACTGGAAAGTTATTGATAGCAACAAGATCCAACATTATGTGCTTGGTAAGTGTGTCATGGGTCAAAGTGTCATGTGTCAAACTAGTACGCGTAAGAATTTGCTATCGCCGTAGCTAGCAAAACAAGGACAGGTAGACTTGAAACCTTCAAGGAAACAGTGAGTGAGTGAGTTAACATTTAACGTCACATCGGCAATATTGCAGCCCTATCGTGACGAGAACAGTTGATATCAATATTCAAATCAATAAATGTGTAAAGTAAAAACCTGCCATCGAAGGACAATAAAACTACTAGAATATCACAGCTCTCAATTTAAAACTAGTACGCTATCATAAAAATATATCATGAGAGACAACAGTACAATATAAGAACGGGCTATAGATCACCAGCAACTGAAGGTTGATCACCATACTAAGGACCATGGAGACTTACAGTACCTTTGCTACCTTTGCTATCATCCCTTCAGCAGCCGGCAATTGAAGTCAAAATTTAGCCATAATTAAAATCACAAAAAAATTACGTTTACAATCCTGGTAAGTTTGAAATTTACTTTGAGAGTTTTGGGACGTACGTACCCTCCCAGGAGGACAATAATTTTACAGTACATTAACCCCCCTTGAGGGTACAGCCACTAACAATATGAGTAACTAATTTAAACTTCCAATCATAAAATATTTATCTATTTACAAATCAGTTAACAAATCTAATTGCTTTAAAAATGCAATAATTAAATGAAAACTGATATTGTTAAAAAGATCCTTCAAAGTTCGTGATTTGAAATAGTTATCCCTTGTGATGGAATATTCAACACAGTCAAGCAAGACATGCTTGACCGTGATTCTTTCATCACAAGGGATGCAAAACGGAGGATCTTCGCCTTTCAATAAATATTCATGAGTATACCTTGTATGGCCAATGCGACATCGTCGCATGATGACGTCTTCAGATCTGGACTGACAACCCAAGTAGGTGTAACCGATATAGGATTTTATTGCATGTAATGTATTGATACCTACCTGGATGTCCCTCAAGGAAACAATGGCGCTACGGTGGCTTTGTTCAATATATAGAGAATCTCACCCGAGTGTCTTTTGATATCAGAAGACACGAGGGTGAGATTCTATTTATCATCAAAAATCACTCTTCATTAGTTTTCAACGAAAAATGTACATCTCTGAACAGAGTACTGCCATTAGATTTGCAGGGCAGCGATGTCATGGCATTGTGACGTCACGAAGTTCATGACGTCATAGCATTGTCAGGGCATTGTGCAAAATCTACTGTCAAAACGATATCTCCTAGGAGATATCGTCTGATCTCACACAAGCGACATCTCCTGTGGAACACAGTTTTGGATGATAAAGTACAAAACACTGCGAAACACAGGAAACGGCGACACCACATTGGCGTTGTGGTTTATGCTTATCAGTTATTCTTATAATCATCACTGCCAAATCGCCTCCCTGTCTGTACTTCGTGTCATTATTCCTTTGCAACAACGTTGTTAGGTTTGAGGTAGTTTATGACACATCAGCTCAAGTTGCTGATTTTAAGAGCTTTTTCACTGCAATTTATTACTCACACCATATCCCAGGTTGATTGTAATGGAAATATGTGTGAAATTGTTGTAGGGGATGTCGACGCCGATGTCTTAATTGAGTACGCCAAGAGCTTCTCACCCCTCATCGCAGGCCTGGATGGCCGCATAACACTGACGACGGTGACGCCCACGTGTCCTTGTAGCGAGATCAATGACGTCACCCGTCCATCACCACAGCTCCTCACATCGACAGCTGCAGTCATGATGATTGCCCTGCTTATATAAACGACAGTTCATTGTTATTAAACCTGTAGGCGCTCACAGGAACATCTAGAATGTTCTTTCTTCTGTTACTGGAGATGTGTAGCTAGAGATGTGGATAGACATTGTACTGTCACCGGTTGTGATCAACCCTACGCAGAATTGCAAAGTGTTGTGAATGACTGTGGTGATGTGTTGTGATGCTCTTAGGTGAGGTGAAACTGGGTTGTAACGTCGTGCTTGAGAATATTTCGCTCATATGACGATGTACATGCGTGTGTATGTGTATGTGCGGCTGTTTGTACTAGCCCAGACTTAAGCTGGTTTTATAGTGCTAGCCCACTGAGATACCATGCTGCAGTGAAGCATGAATACCCCACTCACACACATTCTACTGACTCCGAAGCGACCAGTCCTTGTTGTACCCATTAATACCGAGCACCAGGCAGGGACCAACAAGTACCATATTTTAACGTCTTTTGGTATGACGCGGTCGGGGATCGAACCCGCGACCTTCCGCTCTCCGGGCGGACGCTCTAACCACTACACCACGGAGGCGGTTGTGTGATGCCCTTAAGATGTGACTTGACAGTGTATGTGGATGGTTATCACCATCTTGGTATGGTCATGAAAGCCACGCCCTTTTATATGTACACTATCTCGAAAATAGTCAAAAAATTCAATTCAATTCAATTCTTAATTAACCGTAAGTTTTACAACTTATCGGTGGTTACATAAAGCGTGAACTGATTCCCGGGTACAGTGTGTGTGAAATCATGATGTCCATTGATGATGTTGTGAAATGGTGCGACCTCCACATGTGCCTTACTGTCTTCAAAAGGGGGCGTAGACGTCTCGAGATGACACTGGATAACGCAGTGTGACTATGTGTAACTATCTTGAAATGTGACAGAATAGAGAGGTCTGGAGGTGCGATCATCACTAGATATAATTGGAAAGGGAAGAGTGAGTGAGTTTAGTTTTACGCCGATTGTAGCAATATTCCAGCAATATCAGGGCGGGGGATCTCAGAAATGGGCTTCACACATTGTACCTCTGTGTGAAATCGAACCCGAGTCTTCAGCGTGACGAGCGAACGCTTTAACCACTAGGCTACCCCACCGCCTCTGGAAAGTGAAGAGTGAATATGGATGGTTCGAGTACACTGCAATGCATCGTCTCGAGAGTGGGTGAGTGAGTGAGTATTGTTTTAAGTTCTTTCAACTTATTAAACCCCTCTCCGAAGATATTTACAATAACTAATTACATCACAACCAATTATTAGAAACAGAGACAGAGAAAGACTGAAAGATAACAGGGGGAAGTGCTATAATAAAAAAGGTGTATAGAGAGAAGACTACTGGAATCGTTTAGATTTGCATATATATTGATGTACATTTTTTAATATAATTTCATTTTTATGATTTGTCAGATCTGCAATACCGTTTAAAATAACAGATAATGTAATCACAGAATTACTATCACATACATCTTGAATAGCTTTAAGCATGATCTTTCTATGTTGATTGTATAAAGAACATTCTAAGAAGTAGTGATGAGCATTTTCGCATGGGTTTCCACATGCGCAGGATGGATCAGTGATTAGCCCTACTCTGTACAGATCGTAACTTAATGTACTAGCTTCATGACGTAGTTGAGTATGTAATATGTGAAATTTTCTAATACCGTTAGAAAAATACAGTGGAGCTGAGTTAAATGATGTTATTATGCTCGATTTAGACTTTGATAGTGAAGTACAAATTCTTACATCTGTAGGTAAATTGTTCCACAATCTTATAGTTGATGGGAAGAACGACTCATGAGAATGTTTTATTCTTGTTCTTGGCAAGCAGATATTGCCTGAATTTCTTAGATTATATTGACTCCTGGAGCTCACGTACTGAGGAATTATTTCTTTTAGGTAGATTGGACTTTTGTTGTTTTGAATATTGTAGAGCAAAGACAATTTTCTTATTCTTCTACGCTCTGATAGTGCTTCCATGCCTGTTTCATATATAGTGAATTAAAAGAAGAATATTTGGGAAGTCCTGTAATAATTCTTGCAGCTTCGATCTGGAGCCTTTCCAATTTTAAACTTAGTTCTTTTCCGCAGCCATCCCAGACTTCGCATGCGTACTCAAAGTGGGGTCTTTTAAAAACTGTGTAAATCTTTAGGATTGTATTTCTGTTAAGAATATATTTAAGTTTTCTCATTGAGTAAATCATTTTAAAGGTTTTGGAAACAATATTAGATACATGGGAGGACCATTTGCCGTTCGATGAAAGTATTATCCCCAAATGTTTATGATCTTCTACCGTTTTAACAATCTTATCGTCAAATAGTAAGTTAATCGAGCAAATATCATCTTTAAGTGAGAAAAGTACTGATTCTGTCTTATCTGGGTTGTATGATATCAACCACTTGTTTGCCCAGTCGTTTAACCTTCTGAGATTTATGTTTAATGAGGTTTCTATTCTGTTAAGATTTCCCGAAGCCTTGCCTAATGATGTGTCATCTGCAAATAGTCGCATTATGCAATCTAAGTCATCAGCAATATCATTTACATAAACACTGAATAAAAACGGACCCAACACTGATCGTTGTGGGACGCCAGCTTGGAGTAACCTTGGTTCAGACAGGGCTCCATTAACAAAGACCTTTTGATAGCGATTACATATGTAATTACATAACCACTCTAACAATCTACCTTTAATTCCATACATTTCCAATGGTTTTGCACATTGTACCTATGTGGGGGACTAGAACCCGGGTCTTTGGCGTGACGAGCGAATCATGTCTCGAGAGTTGACTGGACAATGAGTCGATCACTCTGAATAACTAGAATGATGTAGGTGTGTTATACCAAGGAAAGCCTTTTATATAGTACTAGGGTAGGGTCTATATACCTATATGTCTTTCTAACGCTGTTTCTAAGCGTGACACGCCCCTGTGTGTTATACAAGGGAGGATAATTTGTGTTAGAAAATATTATTCAAAGCCATCACATGTATGTAGAATACTAAACAGGTTCCCGTAACTTACTGTTTCCAAGAGGCGGTCCCAGTGTTATTTTGTGGTGGTGCTGGCAAAGCTGAAAACGTCATCGAAGCAGGTAAATTATTCAACCTATCCTTCAATCTACGGATTTGGCTACACATGATGTATCTTGACTGAAATGCAGATTACATAAATAACAACTGACTTCATAATGTACATGTGCATTTGAACTTCAGATATTATATATTTGAGAAAGCCAAACACAGATTCTGTGTAGACATCCAGATGTATTGGGCTTTGTTGAAATCAATAGACTACTTTATCTTGCTATAACAGGTGGTCATGATTAATTTCCCAAATTGTCAAAGATATGTATGAAAAGCTAACAGCTTGTAGTGGAATCGCAAGTCGAAAAGTAAATTTTCATAACCCAGTGTGGATTACCACAATGATATATGCTGAGTCCCGTTCTATTTTTATATTTAAGAAATACGTTCATAGACGAGAGGTGGAAAAGTTTTCATGTTTTCATGTTTCAGTAATGTGGAGTTATGCCTTTTCTTATGTTAATGTTCTAATGCTAATAAAACACATCTACCAGGGCTATAGAGTCTACCGATTTGTTACTTATTTTAGTCGATGTACAAAGTATCAGTGCAGGTTCTTGTATGGTCTTCAAAAGGAAAGTGAAGATCATGAAATACATATGTCATGATGAGTCGTCAGAAAAAGATCAGCTTTGAAACTGCCCCAAAGGAGACACTGCGCGGAGCATTATATTTCTCGTGTTCACATGGAAGTGGGGTCGGGCATTTTCATGAGTGAGTGAGTATGGTTTTACGCCGCTTTTAGCAATATTGCAGCAATACCATGACGGGGGACACCAGAACGGGGCATATTCAAGGCTCCATGCCTGAAAGCCATTTTAGATATACCTTCTGCAACAGGTCTATGGATTTGCAATAAAAACTAGTCGGTTTCCATGTTTAGGTGTAATATTTGGTATGTTCTTGCTGACTAACGAGTTCAGTTGCGATAGAGTAACAGACAGTACAATGCATGTTGGTAGTAGAACTTGCGCCAAATGTCGAATGGCTAAAGAAGAAGTTCCCTTATCAATATCGGTATCGTTATTGCTGGTATCTAAGTCATAGTTTGGTGATTATACTTCAGTAATGGGAAGGGTGAATATTGTCATTGAAACACAAACATACACATATTACATTTCTTCTTTGAGAATTAAAGAAATCAGTTAACCTATTTCAGTTCGACTGTCGTGGTACGGTAATGAATATTCAAGTAAAACTGATATGAATAATGTAGGTTGACTCTACATGAGTGGATCTGCCAATGTGAATATAGTGAAGGTAATTTTATGTGCGTATCATTTTACACAAAAGGAAGATTTCCATTAAGAATGTGCATTTAATGATAAAAGCACACAAGTTGATCATCATTTTCAAGAACAATTCTGAAATAATTTCAGATATGTAGGCGCAAAATATTGTGTTTGTCCGTGTGCGCATGTCCAGTAGACAAAAAAATGCCGTCCTATTTTCAATGTTTCTTCTTACATATTCAGCATAGCCCATCATTACAAACCAATAATTTCACAAATAATGAATTACAGGTACAGGAAAAGAGAAGAAATAGCTAATTTACATGAATTTGAATCATCCCCAAGATATAAATGCTCCCTCCCTCCTCCAAAATGGCAGATAGCAGACAGCTTTGTGAAGCTCCATGACAAAAGATGAGTATGTAATGGTCTTTACAAATTCGCGGGAATTTTTATTTTCATCGACTGCTTGACTTGAAAATGTAAGATTCCCCCCCAGCAATGGCTTCTCAAAAGAGAGCATCAATTGTAAATGTCTCCTTATCAACCAACCAGAGGGCTTGCTCCCATCACATTCCCGTTTTATGCGGATATATCGTCATCCATTTGTGTCAAGATAGTTTAGTTGAGAGTCCAAATCGGGTTTTAATCGACTTAATAAATAAAATGCAGATTTCTTCATGCGCCTTTTCCACGTCAGCAGATATGCTCAAGGCGCAACAATGACAG